TTCCATTTAAAAAAATTAATGTGACCTTGACCTGACCTTCGCTACGCAACCCAAGGTCAAACTGATGTGATCAGTAAATACATCTTTTTAAACGCCACAACTTTTGTCTGAAACATTTTTTTGTAAAACTTATATTTTTCCTGATATTCGGGCGTCCCGGTACTTTCCGAACACCCTATAGAGTGCGCGAGTGATACCGAATTGAAGCTTATTTTTTTTCTATAAAGCTCACCGTACTCTGACGGCAACTGCCTGAGAGTTGTTGCATTGGTTATCAAACTCGTCACACGTAACGCTGAGGGCCAGACGAGAAACGTACATAGAGATACAAATGACTTTCTACTTTTGTTTTGCCTGAAAGTTAGACGTTGTGGCAATCGAGTTGCTCTTGCTTGCTTAAAATAAGTTTACTGATGTTATGCGTTGAACTAGTGTCGTGTGTTAAACTAATGTTTGTATTCAATTTACGCTCTCAATATAACTGTTTTAATAGTTGTATTAATAATGATTTGCCATTCAATTGCTATTCCTAACCTTTTCAATGACATGGGAAAATTTTGTTTGTTATAATATGGAATATTGCAAAGGTAGATGACTAATAATCTGAAAATTTTTGGCAAAAAATAATATTTTTGTTTCATTTTGTTTCTTTCCATTTATTACGTCTATGTTTAATTTCCGTTGTTCTGTTCATTCCTTACATAAGATACATGTATGATATCTTTTAATAAATATTGATTTTATTGATTACGTTATTTAGCTTTTTGAATTTTCTCGGTGGTCCACTCTTCTATTTTTTTGACATCCTAATTTGCTTACTTCTTACTTTATTTTGTTAGCATAATATTTAACTTGCAATTAAATTTTGAGTACTTTCTTTTATCGAATCTTATTGGTGACATGTCTCTCAATGCTTCTGCGCTATCAGAAAGTTGAAATATACGTTTACGTTGTAGCAATGTTGACTTGAAAGAAGGTCTTCCATAATTGATTCCGTCATTTTAATATCAAATTATAGAATCTTTCAAAAAGAAAAATTTTATACTAATCGTATAGTATTCTACAGTTCACTATTTTAATCACCATTGATTACTATTTACCCAGACAGCACAGACAATTCGAAAAGAATTCAGTCATATGTCACCAATTCTGAGTTTATTTTTAGATGCAAAAAGAATTCTTTTCACTGAACCGAACTTTGAATAATTCTCTTTGCATCTGAAAATGAACCGTTTTGTAGATTTCTCACTCCGAGAGTCATCTGATCGCTCTACATTTCTTATGCGCACGCGAATAAATTCATATATAGACGCATATACAGGGTGCGGCGCCAAAATCCGGACAAAATTCAATTTGAAATTCTCGCCATTCTATACCACTGGTAAATGTCGCGATTAGCGTTCAAATAGCTTGACGCATGTATTAAACTATCATAACCTCGAAACAGTCGCAATGTTGAAACCAAGTGCGGAGTATAACCGAAGAGCTGCGATTATCGAAAGTATTCGCGCTGGGCGCTCAGCGACAGAAATCATTCGGTTCTTTGGGTACCCGAGATCGACTGTGTATGATGTCATCGTAAAGTACAATGAGTCCGAGAAGTCCAACGAAGGTTTTGCAACACCGGCGAGGAAAACCCACTCGAAGGAGCGCGTTGTCAGGACGCCCGACATCATTCAACGGGCTCAGGAGCTGATTTTTGAGGATCCAGGGCAGTCGATCCGAAAATTGTCGTCGGTTGTTGGTGTGAGCGAGAAAACTATGCGTCGAATCGTCGAGGAGGACCTCCGCTACAAGTCTTACACAATTAAAGTGAGACAGATGCTTTCCAAAGCCGCCAGGACAAAGCGAGTTGAACGCTGCAACCTGCTCCCAACAGCCCAGATTTGAATCCTTTGGACTTCTATGTATGGAGCGTAGTTGAAAGGGTCACGAACAAGTCCAGACATCCAAACGTCGCATCATTGAAAGCCGCTATTGAAGCGGCATTCACCGATATGGACCGTGACACATTAAAGCACGCCTGCGCATGCTTCAGACCGAGAATAGAGGCGGTCATTCAAGCAAGCGGAAGATATATTGACTAAATATGTTCTTTATAGCCTTACAAACAATGTGGTTAAAAAAATTTTGTAAACCTTTTTGTTTTTACAATAAAAAATATGTTTGGAAGAAATGTATAATTTATCCGGATTTTAGCGCCGCACCCTGTACGTACATAAGCGAACGCGAGAGCGTTGCAGAGTGTAAGTGCAGCTAGTCGATATTTCGTCCAACGTCCGAAAAATAATCGACCTTTATTCTCCACATCTGTGAACATACGCCGCGGGGGAAAACAAAAATCCGGCCGGTTCGATTAAACGCGGTGGATGCGCGTGCACGCGATGCATGAAAAGAAAGGAATTTAGAGGCGCGCGCGAGTGCACAAGAGCGAGAGCAGCGGCATGGCGATGCATCAAGCCGGCGACGTCGTTGCAACGCGATCGTCGAAGCGGAGACCGGCGACATCGAACGATTCATCGGGCGTATCAGTTTAATCCCGGGGCGGGCGATAGCGTTGTAAATCCAATAATTGCCCGTCTTACCCGTTAAGCAGCTTTAATTAATTCCGTTTCCGTAGCGGCGTGATTAACGGCCGAAGTTGAATTAAAATCTCATCTGGAGCAAAAGTTCGCTCGGCCGTTACGTCGCGCTGCCGCGTGTCCTCTCCAATTCCGTTCCCGTTATCGTATTTACATCATCGCCGTCATTAGTTACGCACCGTCCGACCATTTCCGCGATTAGCGTCACCATTGTTACTATTATTAGGTTGAATATTTCAACACGATCTCTTTATATACTCGATTGGCTGTGGCAGTTACGTCTTTAACGAGTTTTCTTTTCTGTCGATTCTTCTGGTAATCTAAAAATTTCAGGGCTCGTGAAATTACTTGGAAGTTACGTATTTGGAAGACTAATACCGTATTAACCGGTTCACTGGTGAACTCGGTACTAACGTTTTGTGCCAAAACTGGTGAGAACAAAAACTTTTGTATTTTACATAAAAGTTTATCTAATAAAGGGTTTTTTGGGTAACTGATTACGAGGTCAAATTTGTCCCGTTACCAGTACTTTTACCCTATGCACTCAAAACTAATATCCTTTATATCGTTCAGTATATTTCCAGGGTCAAATTTTCTAAAGTCAATTCTGAATATATTTTTATATTGTTTTATTTTATAATTTATAATATAAAATTCATAATATTTCACTAGCTAATAACCCATACAGCACAAAATCTTTTGGGGACGTCCCACAGATTTCCTGAGGATGTAAAAACGTCCCCAAGACGTTCTCAGGACGTACTCTGGACGTCTCCTGGACGTCCATTTGTGCTGTTAAGGAACAGAGTATCCATAGAATCATACTAAATATAATACCAAGTTTATTCCGTATGTATAATAGAATATCAAAATTAATCACTTGAAGCCGCCATATTGGATCCATTATTTTAAATTTCTCAAATTTGACCTCGGATTTTTAATCAGCGATCAAAAAAACATGAAGTTTCATGCAAATCCGTTTAAATCTGGTGGAGATATATAGCGAACACATATATGTGTGCTTACCAGTGAACCGGTTAATTAATAAAACATATCAGAGCTTTTTGTTGTTCATATCATGCATGTGATATTATATTGGTAAAAGCAATTCAAAACTGAAACATTTAACTCTAAATTCAAATCTGAATACATCTCACTTGCGTTGAGTTTTAAGTAACGACTGTTAATACAAGTATAAGTATTAATAATTACTTGAAATAAGTATTAATAATTACTTGAAAAGTATTAATCGTTATTTAAAACTTGCCTCAGGTGAGATACTCAGATCTGAATTTAGAGTTGGATATGAGTTTTTTAATTGAATTTTATGATATATGTATGACAAAATATAAATAATTTCAAATCAACTAGAAAATTCACGTCTATCTCTAAATTGAAATCTTAGTGTGCCACTTGCAAAAAGCTTCATGTAATCACTATTAATTTGAACTTTAGATTTGAATTTAAAGACGCGAATCTCAGTTTTTCTACTGAATCATGTGATATATATGTAACACTATATTGATAATAATCGCAATTCGTCTAGAAAACTCAGATCCAACTCTAAAGTCAAATCGGTGTGTCTCATGTCATGAGTTTCAAATAACAACTATTAATATAAGCACAATTATTAATAGTCGTTATTTGAAACTTGTCTCACGTGAGATATTTTGTTAAATTACATAACGTGAGATATTTTGTTAAATTACATAACGTATACGACAATATATTTATTTGTAATTGCAGTTGAATTGAGAAAACTCAGATCTGCATCTAAATTAAAATCTTAATATCTCATTTAAAGTAAATTTAAAGTATTGAGTAGTAATACGCGAAGATACGATCCGTATTAATCAAGCGCCGTGTCACGGCGCGACGCCGAGTACGTATCAAACAAAAAATGCAGCCGTGTAGCTTATCTGGAATTTCTGGGTAAACTGATCTTCCGAGTCAAATATCTTAAGCACAAAAACTATAATCGAAAATTTGATGACAGTTTCTTTAATAATATTTAGCGCGCGCGTAATTTATACCAAGTTTGACTAAGATTGGTGCAGGCAATATGGAGATCTCGAAATTTCACCCGCAAAAGGGTTCATTTTATCATCAAGATTTTTCAGATTCAAATCAGTCACACTTACGTATACACACAAGCGAACGAGTTTATCCATGAAGCCGCATTTGCATCGCCAAACAATTCAGCTTCAGATCACACATATACGCACACACATAAGCGATGCACGTTTGTCCATCAGATTGCATTTGTAACATATAGGTTGCAATAAGCAACATGTATCTATAGTAATTGACACCGATTCACGAATTTACTCTAGAGGAAAAGATTCATGATCGATTATTAGATGTACATATCAAACTGTATTTACAATTACACGTACATTTCCTTACAGATTTATATCAATCTGCGTTTGTGACGTTCGCGATCCGCACTGCAAACGTGTAATCTGAATTTGAAATTAATTGGCGAGAAAGAAAAGGTTTTCGTAAGTAAAATATTATAAAAATTTCCGTATAGACTACACCAACCAAAATGGACGCAATAAATATTACGTGCGTAATAAACATTAAATCAATCATATATTTTTTCGTCTAGTGTAAACTCGTAAAAAAAATAAAACAATTTCATCGATAAAATTCAATGATTACGACTGTATTCCGATATTCATTGCAAATATTAAAGATCTATAATTTGTATCACATATACGTATAGAGTTTCAATACTGGCAATGAATATTAGAACGCAGTCTGCGAGTTCGCATTAGAGGAAAAGATATATCTTAAAGCAAAGAAAATTTTATAGTAAAATATGCTACAAATATAGATCCAATCAAATCATATTCTATTACTTTAATTCAGAAAAGTTAGAAAAATCATATACTTCACAAGATTTAATAAAATACAATTTTAGGAAAAATAGTTGGAAAAATAGTGAAAAAGTATGTGCTTATTGTGGAGAAAACTTAGTATAATTGAAAAAAAGAGATAATGATAACAAAAAATATCTTCATTTTTAAATTATGGTTATGTAAAACTGCTAATAACAAAACGTTTAAAATCATAAACTTAAAAATTAAATGTATATCTACGTTAAAAATATATATCAGCATATATATGAAATTATTAGTGCAATTTTACACAGTGATGAAAATATAACTAATGAACGTTACACAAACGTTGTGCGTAGTAAGCAAACAAAATGGATTTTAATTAAGGAGGTATTCTGTGTGATGGATCTAAAAAATCGATTTTCATTTTTGCATATTTTTATAATTTGGAGTCTTAAAAATATGTCCCTAAAATATTAAGATAAAATTCATTAAATTGACCGAACTATAAATGTTTAAATGACGCAGTCTCCATACGGCGCGCCGACCGAAATGAATAACAAAATGTTAAATGTCATCCAATCTATTTACGAAGATTTAACTACCGATGATTTATAACAGCGATGCCTCGAATCATTTACTCAGAATAATGACGAAAGTTTAAATTCATTAATTTGGACAATTACACCAAAACATTTGTATTGTGAAAAAAAGATTGTGGAAGTTACAACTTTCTTGGCTGTTGCCTGTTTAATGAAGGATTTAATACAATTTTAAAAATAATGGATGTAATAGGACTAAAAATCAGCCAAAATGTAAAATCCCTCGCGGATAACAGAGACAACGAGCACGTTAAACGGGTTTTTAATCTATGTTTAGTTTCCATAGAATACAAAGATCATTGTGTGTATCTAAACTAAAAGGAAAGGGATAATTTAAGATACTTTTTGTACCAGTGTCTTCAAATCAACATGACCAATCCGACGGAATACGCTAAAGTGAACAACCTATCACACTCTGTCATATATCATTTAATTCGCGAGTTTGAAGAAGAACTAGCACATATGTCAGGAAAGTGTATAGATATCGGTTGCGGTCCCGGTGACGTTACAAGATACACTCTTTTACCTGCACTCGATCCAAAAGCGGTAATCACTGGTAAGAAAGTGATACCTTCTACAAATATAAACACATATTTATGACAATTATCGTTTAATTGTATTTTATATAAAGGTATTGATATCTCGGAGGACATGATCAGATATGCTAAGAAGTTATGCGACGATGAACAACGACTCAAATTTGAAGCCCTAGATATTCAAACTAAGCATCTGCCTGAAAAATACGTTTCTGAATACGATCACATGTTCACATTTCACACGTTGCATTGGTGCGATGATATACGGTAAGAAAGATATTTGAACGAATAGAGACTGATTTTAATTTACGCATGTTTCCTTTAAAAGAGAGTAGGTTCGGCAGAGAACTTACTCTTAAACGTAGCTTTCTTTAATTATTTTGATGTATTCGACGCAAATAAATTTTTTTTATATTTTCGCGATACATGAAATAACGATGTAACTTCACTGATTCAAAAAAATATTATTTAGTAATTTTATATCTTATTTATTTTTTCATAAAAACGATCCTAATACATCCCAACAAATCTATCCTCTATTTATGCTTCATAGATTAACTTAATTTATTTATTTTATAGACAAGTATTTGAGAATATCTATTGTTTACTTCGACCTGGCGGAACTATACTAATATTAACGTTAGTATATCACGATGTATTTGATATTTTATATAAATTGTCGCAAGACATTCGATATAAGCCATACATAACGGTAAATATTATTGTCTATATATACTATTTTCTCTGCTATTATTCATCTCTATAAATTGTTAAATCTTTTCTTTGCATTCACACAGCATGTGAAGAATTTTATTCCGCCGTTCTATGATTCAATTCAAGCTAATAAAGAACTAAAAGCATTACTCAAAAGTATTGGGTTTAATGTTCTTCATTGCAGTCATCGGGAGAGAACTTACTGTGCTCAAGATATACAGGAATACCCAAGTATAAACTTTTAAAAATATTTTCTCTGATAACACATTTTACTTCTATCGTTTGATTATCGTTTAAAATATATTTATATTTGTTAATTATATTTATTTAAATCTAAATTCTCTTTATTTAAACCAAATATTATTTACTTAAATGAGGTAAACAATATTTGTTTTAAATAAAGAGAATTTAGATTTAAGTAAATATGTTAATGGCACCCATTAAAAAAATATTTGTTGAATTTAAGATAATTTTTCCCTCAGTATACAGAGATCAAATATTGTATATGTGTGAGTGTGTGTGTATATAGTGTATTAAATACATATATATATACACACAACTACATATATATATTATAGCTTTATATTAAAATTATTAATTATTTCAACAGCTCTGATATTGGCTTTTGTAACGCAATTTTTGAAGAACATGCCACATGACCGAATGGAACAATTCAAAGACGAGTTTACCCGGGAATATAAGAAAAGAAGATTTTTCCATAAGCAGATGCGTACTCAAAAGGAAAGAATTGCGTCAGATCTGCACGAAATATTAGTAGTTTATGCAAAAAAGATTTCACTATAAATAACTACGTAACCAAGAAGAAAGAATTGTATCGAATCTATATAAAATATTGATAGTATATGCAAAAAAAAATTATGAACGATAAGGAACGATTTTGAAGTTACAATTATTGTGAATGTTGCAATTATTAAAGTTATACACTAATTTTAGAGTCATAATTATTAAGCTATTTTATTAAGGTAACGGTTACTGTTATGGGTCTTGATCTTGTATTCAGCTTGGAAAATATAAATATATATATTTTAATAAGAAAAGGTTTTATATATATTCTCTTTAGATCTAATAATAACCCTACAATTATAATATTATAAAGTTACTTTCACAAACATTATTAATATTTAAAAAAGTTTAGATATAAAAATTTCTTGTAATTGTACTTTATTTCATCAAGTTTTTAGTCTGACATGGGAACCTCAATCTGCCGTTAATTGCTATTGTAATTTTCAGTATCGTATTATAAAATATCGTATTATAAAATACATTTTGAAATGTAAAAAGTATACCAATAAGTATCAATATTATTGATACTTATTACACAATTACTTGTGTAATAAGTACTTACATATACGTACTTGGTTAATTTAAAACATCTGCACTTTGTTCAAGTTTACATGTACTTTTCGTTTTGTAGTTTTGTAGTTTTTATTTTTGTAATTTATTTTTTGTAGTTCCTATTTTGATAATTTTTGTATAGCTTGATTAACTTGATTATAGCAAAAATGTTTCAATAATTTCGAAAAATGTGGATTTACTTCTGTAGTCGAAAAGGAAAAGATATAAAACGTAACGTGTAAGAAGGAAGCGAGCGTTAGCCTTAGATATATGAGTGCATATGTGAGCTCACGATTTACACGTGAAATCAGATCTGTCTAATAAAATTGAAATTAGGGACCTCGCAAGAAAAAGGATAAGCGGGTCGCGATTGGCAGTGTCCCGTAAGCCGTCGCAAAAGCAGTAGTTTGACAGCTTCGTTGAGACAGCTTCGTATAGCGATCAGGCCAAGCCATTGAGTAAAATATTGTTATTGTTATTACCCAAATAAATTTCTTGTTTACATTTCTAATAAACGATTATCAAATTTAAACTTTACTCTGATGGATCAATAATAAATGGATATTTTAATACATCTACTCTCATTTTATGAAACCGTATTAATGCAGCAATAATTAAATTTTCATTTAAATTCAATTAATACACGGCATTTTGCTCATATGAAAGCACTAACGTTCGTCAACTAAACGAAAGCAACGAAGAATTAAAGGTTATTGAAAGTTGCGTAATTTCAACTTAACATACAAAGTAACTTAGAATACAAAGCAACGCATAAAAATAAGTTAAAATAAGTTAAATAAGTAAAAATAAGTTAAACAAGTTAAAAATAAGTTAAATTCGACACGTAAGCGTCTGTGGTATTGCAGAAAATGAAATTAATAGATTAAAATATAGTTAATAGAAATTTAACAAAATGATACAAATATAAGTAACGATCTAATACATACAATGTGATATAAATATAGTTAGCAATTTCTACATTTCGTTTCCTGTAACTTTAAAATGTTATTATTATATCTTCATAAGAAATTTAAAATTATTATATATTATTAAGATGTGCAAAACAAAATATTACCACTCTTAAGGGAACCAGGTAAGTTTCAACGGCTGAAAATTCGGTAATATTCAAACGACGGTTGAGGACAAATAAATTAACATACATATAGTTCTTCGTAAGTTATTTAATGCATTTTTAAAGTTCTCGGGAGAGAACTTACTGTGCTCAAGATATACAGGAATTCCCAAGTATAAACTTTTAAAAATATTTTCTTTGATAACACATTTTACTTCCATCGTTTGATTATCGTTTAAAATATATTTATATTTGTTAATTATATTTATTTAAATCTAAATTCTCTTTATTTAAACCAAATATTATTTACTTAAATAAAGTAAACAATACTTGTTTTAAATAAAGAGAATTTAGATTTAAGTAAATATGTTAATGGCACCCATTAAAAAAATATTTGTTGAATTTAAGATAATTTTTCCCTCAATATACAGAGGTCAAATACTGTATATGTGTGAGTGTGTGTGTATATAGTGTATATAATACATATATATACACACAACTACATACATATATTATAGCTTTATATTAAAATTATTAATTATTTCAACAGCTCTGATATTGGCTTTTGTAACGCAATTTTTGAAGAACATGCCACATGACCGAATGGAACAATTCAAAAACGAGTTTACCCGGGAATATAAGGAAACAAGATTTTTCCATAAGCAGATGCGTAATCAAAAGGAAAGAATTACGTCAGATCTGCACGAAATATTAGTAGTTTATGCAAAAAAGATTTCACTATAAATTACTACGTAACCAAGAAGAAAGAATTGTATCGGATCTATATAAAATATTGATAGTTTACGCAAAAAAATTATGAACGATGAGAAACGATTTTAAAGTTACAATTATTGTGAATGTTGCAATTATTAAAACTATACTAATTTTAGAGTCATAATTATTAAGCTATTTTATTAAAGTAACGGTTACTGTTATGGGTCTTGATCTTGTATTCAGCTTGGAAAATATAAATATATATATTTTAATAAGAAAAAGTTTTATATATATTCTCTTTAGATCTAATAATAATCCTACAATTATAATATTATAAAATTACTTCCACAAACATTATTAATATTTAAAAAAGTTTAGATGTAAATTTCTTGTAATTGTATTTTATTTCATCAAGTTTTTAGTCTGACATAGGAACCTCAATCTACCGTTGATTGCTATTGTAATTTTCTTAATTAGTATCGTATTATAAAGTACTTTTTGAAATGTAAAAAGCCAAACTTGGGGACTACAGCAATGCCAAATATCCGAAAAAATATCCGAGATTAGTTCGATCTTAAAATTTTAAGAATAAATATATTCTCTAATTTGTTCTTTGTTTTTTTTCTATGGACTATTTTTTTCCGTACAGCTCATGCATATACGTTTAGAATGTTGCGTTCAAACTTGAACGTTGTTAACTTGAACAAAGTGTGCAAATGTTTTAAATTAATTATATTCAAAAAGAAGTAAGATCAATATAATTAACCAAGTACGTATATGTATTTATTACACAAGTAATTGTGTGATAAGTATCAATAATATTAATAATTGAACACTGAAATATCCAAGTATCAAATTGAGAAAAACTTGACATCGAGAATCAAAAACTCTCGGCGTGCTCCAATAAATAAATTTATAAATAAACTCATAAAAATATATTCATACAGAAAAGTTATTCGTATACGGCGACGCACAGTCTTCTTGAATTCACTAAACACTAATAGAGATTTCCTCATGGTAAACATATATATTTTCAATAATGTACATGAAATTATTAGTAGTATTATAAACATTTATATTGAAGAATGATGTATTCTGAGACAAACCTCGATGTTAAGTTTTTCTCTAATTTGATACTTGGATATTTCAGCGTTCAATTATTAATATTATTGATACTTACCACACAATTATTGTTAATTATATTGATCTTACTTCGTTTTTTAATATAATTAATTTAAAACATCTGCACACTTTGTTCAAGTTAACATATACTTCCTATTTTGTAGTTTTTGTTTTGATAATTTTTATATGGTACTTTTTGTTCAGTATTTTCGTTTTGGTGTTTTTTGTTTGATATTTTTTATTACGGCAGTTGTTATTTGAAACTTATCTCAAATGTAATATTTAGATTTTAATTTAGTGTGTTATATGTAAATTTTCCAGTTAAACCGCGCTTATAAACGTCGCATATATCGTGTAATTAAATTAAACTCGTGTAATTTAACTAAAAAATTCAAATCTACTTTAGATTCACTCTAAATTCACACACATACACACAAATCTGAGCATAACATTTTATGCGAGATAGGTTTTACTAATACAGACCTTAGTCTGGCTAATTAAAATTTCCATTTGACATAGTTCACCCACAGTTGATCGTACAATCATATGAAAGCAACCATCAAACGTTGACGTAACGCAAATGCCATTAAACGTACACAATTAAACTCAATAACAGAAAGCACACCGTCACGTTTAATATTAGTCAAAGTGAAACAACACACATAATAAATGATTGATGCTATTGACTCAGCAATTGACTCGCGTTTGAAAAAGCATTTTCGTCGGAACTTATTCCGCGACTTCACGTACTCATTATATATATGCATATATGTACATACGCGTACCTACGTCACTGTCGCGTTATTTAGTTTGCGCCTTTATATGCGGCGTGCACCATGTGCAATCTGCAAAGCCTCTCAAAATGTGTCGGACGGACGACATGCAGCAACTTCGTTTCGGCAACAATATATAGCCCTTTGTAAATACGAAAAACAAGCGCGCGCGACACACAGTCCGTGCTGTTCCCGAGCACTGCGCCTGGCGAAATGGCAAGGGAAAATTAACCGAGTAAAGGGATAAGCAATATCCCTTGACTCGTTTGCTTCCTTCACTACCGCCTCCGCCACCAACAGATGGCAGAAACAGAGATTTCTGTCAGATAAAATCTCTCTCTTGGTCTTCGTCTTCGTCCTCTCTCTTTCTCTCTCTTTCTCTTTTGCTCTGTAACTGATTTTCGAATTATAAAGTAAGAGTTGCTTTGATACACAGCGGAAAATGACGTCTCATAAATGCGATATAAAATCTCGAGTTCGGTGCTTACATTAGCATATGTATTAGTATGTATTGGAATCTTCTCGTACAGGAAACCCAACGACAAACGGGATCACGGAAAAGACCCTGCAATCAGAAATAAAATTCCAATCTCGGGCATTTCGAAATTGACAGTTCGCTAAGTCGTGTGACGAATAATTCAAAGATACTCCGATGAAAGCAAGAAAAAAGAAGGAATCACACTTTTCATGACCGATATGAACGAGATACGCTACGTAACTTTATGTCCGCGTGGCTACACGCGAGCGTGTGTGAGGTAGGTGGTAAGATTCGGTCTCTCTTGTCCGCTTTCTCCTACTCTGTCGCTTTTGAAATTGATTCTCCGCAAAAGGTCGCGAGGTTGCCCTCGAATGGTCCAAACGATAACTGGAGCGAAGAAGATTCTAGGCGCTCTCTCTCTCTCTCTCTCTCTCTCTCTCTCTCTCTCTCTCTCTCTCTCTCTCTCTCT